TTTTTTTGCGATCTCCCTTTCTTGTGATCGAAACATCGCAGAATAATTCATTATAGCACTTTTTTGAGGAAATGCCTCAGAGAAAAGAGCGCGGGCGTTGGAATGGACATACGAGAAGAACATGGGTTTATCAATGCCAGGATACCTTAGTATATATATATAGAGGCAGCACAAAAGTTGATAACAAGCTTGTGAATATATGACCTACAACAACCCTTTCCCCCTTAGAATCCTACAGAGGATCATAGTGGCATTCCGACGGATCAATTTCCACCCGAAATAAATGTATACCAATTGTTGATAATTTAGTTCGGGATGGAAATTAATCCGCCGCCATGCCATTGGGAAAGAGAACTCGTATCAATGACATTCTCGAGTGAAGTTGTACCAAACAAACGTTCTTCCTCTTATTGTACGGCTGATGCTTGTGATAAGAAGTCCAATTTTGTTGATGGGCCAGGTAGAATCTTATGTTGGGTTTCTTAATCTAGGGCTCTAGGACTTCTATGTTCCATACATTTTGGGTCCTAATATCTTATAGATTCTCCTGGATATTTTTTTTTGAAAGAAGAGGTTTATATTTATTTCGAATTTATGTTTAATACCTTTTTTGGGAAATGCTCCTTTCCAAAACAATAATAAATCTGATTTCCTGCACTTTTGGTATTTTATCGCATTATAGAAATATATAAATCATATAATAAATATATATAGTTTAAAGAGATTTTATATATTCTGGATGATAATGAAGTTAGTGTTTACTGAAAGCATTTCATGAGTAGCATTATTTGATGCTATCTTTCGGGTCAAATAGGGCTGAATCGATACACACACGACGTATGCAGGTTCGTCTGCGGCAAAAGATCTAGGTCCGTTTATCGAACGTGTTTTTTGATGAAATTGAAGATTTATTTGTTTATGAGAAGGTTGATTTGATTTTGTATGCCTATGGCCGTTTGGCCTAATAATTAGGCCTTGAGTTGATCCGTGCTGCGCTATGTTGAAAGACGCATGTGATATCGTCGATGGTTCGTTTATGAATTGGATTTTTTTGGAGGATTTTGGATTGTTGATATTCTACCGTTTTAGTGGTAGGCGGAGCGTGATTTGGATATTTGGGACCACGCTTGATCTATGGTTATATTGGAGGACCACTTAAGCCGGGCAACCCGACGCTTCGAATAGGGCTGCCTCGTTTGGTTAACCGCTGGGATCGCAACAGCGCTTTGCACCACAGCAGGGTTCGCAAGGTTTCACAGCCGCATCATTTGCTACATCCTTAGGATCTATAGGTGCCGCACCATCCGCAGGTTCTTCGAAATGCATTTCCCGCCAGTGCTATTCCATCACAGCCGACTCGCCAGATCAATTCAATTGCGAGTGCTTTGCATCAGGCCTTGGTAGGAGAAAAGCGTGCCATCCCGAGCTGGAATGGATCTCCTTCGACCTTGAGGTCATGGCTGAAGTTGTTGGCCGTTTGGGAGTTTGAGTCGACGGTTCCCATGGACAAGAGGGGAATCAAGTTGTTACAAAATTTTCCAGAGAACTCCCAACCTCGTCGAATTGCAGATATTGTTCCTGTTGAAGTGTTGTTGTCCCCACAAGGGTATGGAGCAATTTTAGCAGCAATTCATCAGAAGTATCAACCTTTTTTGGAAGCATCAGCGCCACGCGCAATTGATGTTTTTCTATTTGAAGGGGAGCGTGCGAAGGGTGAATCTTTCAGTTCATTCATTGCTACAAAGCAGTTGCAACGGCAAGAGATGGAATCCCAGATGGGCGAGAGGATTTCTGATCGTTTATGCGGCCGCATTCTGCTGAAACAGGCCAATTTGAATGAGCTGCAACGAGAGATGGTTTCTCTTCGAGGTCCAGTGCTTCGCACCTTTGATGAAGTTGCAAATATGCTCCGGCCGTTGGACAGGCCGGAAATGTTGGCTAAGGTGACTGATTCCTCATCCAGTGCCAAAGCGTATGCAGTGAGCTTTGAACAGGATCCACCTGGTCAGTCCGAGCCTGTTGACGAGGTTGACGACAATGAGATAGATGCAGAAGATTGGGGTAGCTCAGATGAAGATGAAGAGGGCTATCCATATGTCTACTTTGAAGACCGAGAGCACGATGAGCTTGAAGCAGTTGAGATCATGGCATACCATGCCGCTTACAGGGATGTTCTCCGTGAGCTTCAAAAGAGAAAGAATGAACGCGGCTATGTCTCTCGAGATCGTGCTAAAGGTTCTTCAAAGGGCTCTCGTTTTGTTCGCAAGGGCAAAGGCAAGAGCAAAGGAAAGAAAGGAAAAAGAAGTTTTCAGCAGCGCAATAGCAACAAGGGCTACGAGGATGATCTGGAGCAACGAACACGTTGTTGGAATTGTCAGGAGTTGTGGCACTTCTCAAAGAACTGTCCTTTGAGCTCCCGTGGAGCAGGTTCTTCAAGTACATCAGCCTCCACCAGACGACAACAGCAGTTTGTTGTGAACAATGGACAACAGTCGTTTGCAACTCAGCAATACATGCAGTTTTCCATGCGTCCATTGCCAGGTCAGAATCCACAGGTTTTCATGCATGCAATGCAAGCGGCTCGCATTTCAGTGTATGCAGGAGTTGTTTGCGCACCAGGTGAAGCATTGGTTGATACAGCAGCAGAAGAAGCGGTGATTGGCACACGTGCATTGCAATCTTTACAACAAGAGTTGAAGAAGCATGGGTTGCAGACGCTGAAAGTTGACCCCTTGATGCCCCTCCCCACAGCAGGTGGAATCGGTGGCCAAGCTGCAGTGGAGTGCTTGGTTGAAATCCCCATAGGGGTTGCTGGCAGCTTTACAGTTCTGAAAGATTCCAATGATTGTGCCACTCCACCACTTCTGCCCATTTCGTTCCTCGAGACGATTGAAGCAACAATTGATACCAAACGAGACCTTTTGGTGGCCGGCAATGGTAACACTGCACCCATGCGCCGGTTGCCAACCCGCCATCGTGCTACAAGCATCCTCAACTTCGCCGACAACAAGTGGAGTCTCCCGGTTCAGCACCGGAAGGATCCTGCCATCGATCCTTTTGAGATTCCTAGGCAGAATCCTGCCAACCGGACCACGTCTTTTTGGCTACAACCTCAGGATTGTGTTTCAGTTTGGTTGTTGCGCAATGATGTGTTGATGCATGTACAAGACGTGCCGGAACGCCATACATAGTTGTTGCCATCACAATGCAGTGCGCTCAAACATTTTGAGCGTGAGCTGGAGCCAGAAAGGCTGGCGTATGCAACATTGACTGACGGCCATCAGATGGTTGCGCGTGATCGTTGGCAGTCATGGTCAGCAAGTCGCTCGTTGCTACAGCCTTACCACGGTTCAGTCATATTTCGCTTCGCCCAATGGTGCATTGGCTGACAGGATTTTGGGGGGGAGAGTCGGATGTTGTCAGGACTGTTGACATAGCTGCAGCCCTGACGTTTCGAGCGCTTTTGCTTCGTTGCCGGCCCCTTCCAATGGTCGATCGTGGAGCTCCAGGACGAATACAGAAACTTTTCATGGCCGCGCTCACGAGAAGCGTGACCTCTGTGCTGAAAAGAAGGTTCGTTTTGTAGAGCAGGATGGGACACCAGGTGCGTCTACTTCCTCCACCACCACTATTTCCGGGACACCATCAACTTTGTCGACATCTTCTACTACATGTTCAGCTATCCCCCAAACTATGAAGGAACTACTCCACCAAGATCCCGGTTCGACAAACCACCTTCTCAGCGATGCTCAACGCTGCAAGGCTGCCACCTTTGGCCCCACTGCCGATGCAACGGGTGGGCCTCCCAAGACAGTCAGAGCAGCTCAGGTTTTGGACATGACAGCTGATGAGCATTTGCATGCAGTTGAACCGACAGAGCATTGTGTGAACCTTTGAGGTCAACCACTCGCGAACAGCGAGCGTGTCAGGCTTGGAAGAGGCTGATCATCACCATCCTCATGCTCCTCCGGAACACCCGACAAGAGATGCTGATGGAATACCTGACTCACAGGATTCCGGAGCCGGAGGAGGCCAAGCCCCTCGACAACAAGCGCAAGAAGAACAAAGGCTTGGATCCAGAAGCCAAAGTCCGCATGGGCATCGGCAAACCTTTGTCCAGATCGGTTGCCCAAAAAGAATGGAACTATGCCGTGGAGGACTGCGAGCGCGATCCAGACTACCTGAGACATCGCGCCGGTCGTGGCCACTTTTGGTTCACTTGCCTGCAATGCGGGGCAAGATGGGAACGATTGGAAACTTCGCAATCAAGCTCCTCGACCTCCTTGGTGGTCGAACCAGTCAAGGGCAAGCACAGCAAACAAGCGTACCCGAAAGAAGTGCCACCACCAAAGTACCGTCAGGACCTTCAAGGGCAGAATCTGGAGATCAAGGTCAAGGACAGCGACCAGTTGCCGATTGCACCCCATGGACGAGCTCGTAGGAACCAGAGTGCACCAATCGCACACCCTCCTGGACTTCAGATGGTCATGGCACCTCCATGCCAGAGCCTCTCCAATTACTCAACGGCCAGGACAAGTCGATCAGCCGAGGAGATGAGTGGACTGATCGCACTCCAAGGCCTTCGCTCTCAAGGACAGATCCCAAGCCCAGAGCGCTACCAGTTGAACATGGACGAGATGTCACCCACTGGGATCAGTCAGTCCGAATGGGAGGACGCCATGATGGCCTACGAGGAGGTGAAGATTCAGGAAGTGGAAGCGATCCACGGCCCGAATTGGACCCAGGAGCAGTTCGACCAGATGCACAACCAGTGAAATTGAAGGCTCAGCTGGTGCATTCATATCACTTAGCTTCCAAGGAGCCGCGCCTTTGTCAAGCACTTGGATCACTACCCGGAATGGCTATGATTCTTTTGTGCTCTTTTGCAGCTGCCGCCAACTCGGTGGAAAGCACACGTCACTTGTCAGCAACATCGGACGAAGTTCCTGAGCTGATGACCCGTCACTACGAGGTGAACGAGCCCTACTACCGGTCTACCGGTGAGCACTACATCGAGGATAAGTTCACCTACCAGTTCCCTGATGCACAGAACTGGAAGTACTGTTTTGAGCACCTTCCTTGCCTTTTGGGTCAGCCGACCCATCTTTTCTTTTGTACTGATGAGAAGAGTGAAACATGGCAACAGCAGCGATGGAATTCAGAGACAGATGATTTTCTTCAAGTTTTTGCACGTCAATACCCTTCATTTTGTTGGGTATATCCAACTACATGCACTACAAGCTCCTTGGCTCATGATCTTGACTGGAATCAACCCGCCAAAACCATCCCACGTGGCGTCAAGATCTTCATTGAGAGGAGCCTCAACAACAAGCATGGAGTTGATGTGATGGAAATTTACAGTCCACCAAGACTGACGCTGGAAGCCCAGAAGCAGAACTGGAAGAACAAAGTGAGATCACCATGGCACATTGGCGAGGCCTCAGACCTGGTCACAGGCTTTGATTTTCGACTCCCTCAAGATCGAGCTCAAGCCTTGAAGTTGGTCAGACTACATCGGCCAGCGCTACTCCTTTTGAGTCCACCATGCACGACTTTCTCAACACTGCGTACTCTTTCTGACCACAAAAGACCGCCCAATACGGTTCGTCGAGAACGTGCAGAAGGACTTCTCCACTGGGTGTTTGCACTGGACCTTTGTGAAGAGCAGCTTCAACAAAAGAGAGCCTTTCTTTTGGAGCACCCCCGAGGAGCTACGAGTTGGAAACATCCTCGACTTCAACGTCTACTAGCCAGACCTGATGTCTACGGCATCGCCGTGGATATGTGCACCTTTGGTTTGGTCACCTCCCAAGGCTTTCCAGCGAAGAAATCGACCTTCTTGGTCACCAACCTCTATCCATTGGTCAAGAACCTTCATCGACATCGATGTGCAGGAGATCATCAGCATCAATGGCTCATCAACGGCCGAGCAGCGGATGCGGCCAAGTACACGACTCCCTTCGTGCAAGCCATTCTCAAAGCACTACATCACCATTTGCAGGCCTCCACAGCCTATGTGATGACCTTTGAGGAGCCTCAAAACCTTGCTGATCCTGCACTACCTCTTGAACTACACTCTCATGCCACCTCCTTAGCAAAGTCGATGGCTCAGGTTTTTGTGAACTACATCACCGACGAGACCCTCTTTCTCCAAGAGTGGCGCCTGTTCTGCACTTTCCAGGCATTTCCGTCCAGCAAGATTTTGGGGGGAGATGGTTCAGCTGAGTCTGCCGGCCGTCGTTCTGCCGCTTCTGGTTCTTTGCGTTCTTCGCCGGACTCGACTTCTTCGACTACGTCTCCGGCGGCTCCTTCGCTTTTGAAAAGACTGGAACGGCATGTCCGACCGTCGCTTCTGGACGAAAAAGACCCTGTCCATCGCGCAGCAGCTCGTGAACTACACCCCATTGCAGAAGGTGATGAATTACAAGACCTAGCCAAGGAGATGGGCTGGAAGTCAGAGAGTCAAGATCCACGATTGCCAGCAGATCTTCGTCGTGAGGTGTATCGCTTGCACCGCAACCTTGGACATCCAGAACCTCAAGCTTTCGTCCGGGCCTTGAAGCATGCTGGAGCCAAAGAATCTGTTTTGCAATATGCAAAGAGCTTCCGTTGCCCCATCTGCATCAGCCAACAACGGCCTACAAGGCCTCGACCAGGACATCTCAGTCGTTCATTGGCCTTCAACGACGTGATCGGCATGGACACGATCTTCTATGAGTTCCGCCACCACCAATACATCCTCGCCAACATTGTGTGTTGCGGTTCAGGACTCCAGGTCGTTGAACGTGTGGCTGCCAAGACTGCTTCCGAGATGCTGGATGCGCTGATGAGAGCATGGATTGTTCCATTTGGTCCACCCACCGTCCTGATAGTGGACCAGGGCACGGAATACACAGGTGCCAATTTTTCTGACTATGTCACGAGCCTCGGCATCTTGCTCCACCTGACCGACACGGCTTCACCTTGGCAAGCTGCCAAGACGGAGAAAGCAGGAGGCCTGTTCAAGGCCAAACTGACTACAGTGATCGCTGAAACTCAGGCCATCACGGAGGAGGAGTTCATGCTGTGTGTCCGAGAGACCCAAGTCGGACGCAACCGCTACTACCACCGCTCTGGATTTTCACCCTACCAGAGAGCATTCGGCTGCAACCCAAGACTGACGGGTTCTCTTGCCAGCGATGACATCTTGGACCCCATCCTCTTGCAGCACTCTGCAATAGCTGAAGTCCAACGCAGCTGGGAAGTCAGAGATGCAGCAGCCGCTGCTTGGCTGAAGAACCAGGACGTGGATGCTGTCAAGCGTTCTTTGAGGGCGCCCACTAGACAAGCCGACAGCAAACCGTTTGAGATTGGCGATTGGGTCTTCATTTGGAGAGAGGTGCCAACGTTCAAGGGCTGGGCTGGACCAGGCCATGTCATTGCAGTGTCCAACAACGGTCGCTCCCTGTGGGTGTCTCTTCGCAACCAATTGCTGAAGGTCTCACGTGAACAGACTCGACCAGCGACCTCAGAAGAACACCTAGGAGCTGAACTTGCCAAAGAACTTTCGGTCACCATGATCCAAGACATCAAAGAGGGCAAGCTCAGACACTACCACGACCTGACCGAGGACGCTTACCCGGAGGACCAAGACATGCCTCAGCTCACACCTTTGGAAACCTTGGACATGGACACCTCCAAGAAATCGTCGGAAGAACCTCATGGGCAACCTCCTGAGCCTATGGAACTTCAAGACGATGATGAAGAGTACACGCCAACTCTACCACCTCCTGAACCACCAGAAGAAGATTTGCAACCCATGGCTGAAGACCATGAAGAGCAGGCTGAGAGCACCACTGCCGCAGGGAACACTGTCACTCCAGAGGTTAGCACGCCTCCATCGGCTCTACCAAGTCGAAGACAGAGCATTGTGGTGGATGAGGGCCAGCACGGCACTTTGACAGCCCGCTTTGGTCCAGCTCCACCGTCCACGACAAGTTCAACCAACAGGACAGCACCATATCCGTTCCACAATCAACCACCTTCACTTCCAGCACCGCCTTCAAGACAGTCGTCTTCTTTCTTTGAAGTTGTCAGCTTTGAGGGAGAGAGGAAGCGACATTCGCTTTGGACCCGAGGCGCTGACGGCGCTATGTGGTGGCGAGATCATCGCCGAGGTCAAGATGGCATGACACCGCTTGGGCCACAGACCTTTGCGATCCAGGATGCTGAAGGCAGCTACAGCTTTTCAGACCACTGCATTTATTTGACCAAAGCCAAGCTCGCTCCTGGACAGGTGAACTATCCAGACCTCTCTGCCGAGCACAAGACGATCTTCGACCAAGCACGAAAGAAAGAGATCGACAGTTTGCTTGCCAACAAGGCGATCACCATCCTGGCCATTAAGGAGAGCGAAGAATTTCGCAAGAACTTCCCGGACCACGTCCTCAAGTCCAGATACGTGGACAGATGGAAGCCTTCAGGAGACGGCAAGTTCTTTGTTTTGCCTGAGGAGTTCGGCGAGCCTGACTTTGAGCCGAGCACTCACGAAGGCCTCAGCGCCAAGAGCCGCTGGTGTGTGATTGGTTGGCTTGATCCGCACATCCATGAGATTGAATGTGCTGCTCCAACTCCACTCACTTCGAGCTTGTACCTCTTCATGCAACTTGCAGCAAGTCGCAAATGGTCTGCGCGGGTGAAGGACGCCAAGACTGCGTTCTTACAGTCGAAGCCGACGACCAGAAAGAACAAGTTGGCTTGCACTATGCCCTCCGACGGCCTTTTTCCTGGCCTTGATCCACGACAGCTCATTTTGCTGGAAACAGAAGTGTACGGCCTTGTCGCAGGTCCTGCATGGTGGCGACGAAGCCTTCTGGAAGTGCTTGTGAAAGAAGGCAAATACCGCATCAACCCGTATGACCGATGCGTGTTGACATTGGACTCTGAAAGCACTGCTCCAAATGCTCCCACCAGGGGAATCATTGTGATCGAGATCGACGACCTCTTGGAAGCAGGAGACTCAGAGCACCTCCGCCGCATGGCATGGCTTGAGAACACCCTTCGTTTTGGCAAGGCAGTTGAGCTCCAAGCCGAGAAGAATGGTACAGGGTATATTGGCAGGCGGCTACGCCAGTTGGGTGACTTTAGTTTTGAGCACACCATGAACGACTACGTTGCTAGCCGGTTGAAACCTGTGACTCATGCACCCTGCACCATCAAAGCGGCTTCAACAACCTTCTTGACACCCGATGAGGAGAGTCAGCTTCGGGGCGCCATTGCCTCGATCAACTGGGTGTCGAGAGAAGGACGTCCGGATGGAGCTGCAGCAGCAAGCATTTTGAGTGGATGTTTTCCCAACCCCACGGTCAAAGATGCCATGGACACCAACCGCGTGGTGGCAAAGTTGAAGGGACAGCGCATCACATTGAAAGTGCATAGCATCCCCGAAGAACAGATCAGGCACATCGTGATTTCAGATGCTGCATTTGACCAGACCGGTCGCGTGAAGCCACAACACGGCTGGATCCAAGGAGTCACCACTCCAGCGATGAACGCTGGGAAGCTGGCTCCGATCTCTTTGATCGGTTGGAAAAGCCGCCGACTCCGGCGGAAAGCTGGTTCAACGATGCTGTGCGAATCTGTGTCGCTTCGCACCGCGCTGGGAGCTCTGGAGAAGCAAGTGAGTATGTGGCGATCCATTTGTTTTTCTAGGTTTGATGTTCGCCAGCAAGCCGAAGAAGACGACACTGGAGGTTTGCAAGGCGCAGCAACAGTTTTGGCATCGGAAGATCCACTG